TAACAATGGGCACATTATTGTCTCCTTAGGAATCACGGCCATCTCTCTGCATGCTGGGAAAAGTGGAATTTCTCATGCTGTATGTGTGCTGTGCACAGCTCTCCACCAAGGAGGAGAAAATCATCCGTAGGGACCATTGGTAGGAGATGTAGGTGTGACCTCAGCTGCTGTGTGTCAGGGTCTTGCAACGATTCCCTGACAAAAATGTATTTCCAGGGGTGAGATCCCAACCCAAAAATTTCCATGTCTTAAAATGCCCTTGTTTAAGGGCAGAGTGAACTTTTATTGTCTTTTGTTTGCTTGTTTGAAAGGAAAGTGTGTGGCCAGCTTTGATAGTTTTGTTTTCAAGCTGGAGAAGAAGAAAGCAAAATGCAAAGATGGAGCTCCTGCTTAGCTTTGCTCTGGTTATTTGCACTACCACAATCAAACCCAGGCTGTGTTTTTCCTGTTGATTCTGTATGGGTTTTATTCATGGCTTGCTGAAGCTGTGACTGGCACTGCAGTCTGTGGGTTGGGCACATGCAGAACCTCAGGAATTGCCTTTCCCCCCATGGAAATCTCTGCTGGCTGCTCTTCCCCGAGCTGTCCATGCGTAGGTGCAGGCAGGGAGGACCAGTGAAAGTCACTTCCCACCTTCCAGTGTGGGCTGGGACATCCTGTCCCTTCCTAGGAACAGGGCAGGGATGCTGCAGCCCCACCACTGCTCAGCTGTTCCTGCCTTCAGCTGGATCAGATTAAACTCAGGACTGCCTTTGCACTGAAAGTGTCATGGCCAATGATTGCAAAGATGATGAGCTTGAGGGGCAGTGTTTTTATTTTGTTTTTTCCTCCTTAATTTGCTCCCTAGGAGCAGCGTGTGGGGATGAGGATTAGCCAAAGGGCTGCTGAGCCCACTGCTTGCTCTGCCCCTGAGCTTCTGGAGGAGCAGCAATTCCCACCTGGCTGTTTCCTAGGAAGAAGCAGAGTGGTGCTGTGTACCAGCTGCTGCACAGTGTCATCTAAACAAGGGCTATTGGGGTGTGGGTGACAGGGGTGAGGGTGCTGGCAGCCTGGCCCTGACCAATGTGATGTGTACCCTCCACACCCACTCTCCTGCACAGCTGGAGATGTCCTGTTGGTTTTCAAAGTGTTTATTTCTAAAAATCAGGCTGTTTTTTGCCCCTGTATCACACCCAATGTCCCATTGTGTCCCTGTGGTGTTAAATGAGGCAGCCCAGGCAGGGCCCTCCTGTCCTGGCTCAGGATCCTGCTGGTCCCCATAGCTGTCACCGCTTGGTTGTCACAGCCACTTCCATTTCCACATGCTCAGGGGCATGGTTTCCTCTCTTGGGAACAGAGGACCATTGCAGTCACACAGGCTGTGACCTGGGTTGCAATTAGTAAAGCTAATTAAGGATGTGCACCTGTGACACCTTGAGCATTGCAGACCCTCAAGCAGCACCTTTGTGCCCCATTCTCTGTCTGTGTCTGCTCACCCTGTTCCCCCAGGGTTCTTTTCTGTGGTGATGGTTTCCTCCTGGTTTAAATTCTAAGCATTGGAGGAAGAAGCAGCAGCACAGCCTGGTTTGGGGCTCTGCTTGTGTTTGTGTTTTGTCAGAAACCTGTGGCTTTTGCAGCGGTAGCAGCGCATTTTTGATTGTGGTTTTTGGTTACCTGTGGTTGCTGTCAAAGGTTGAAGTGAGAATCATAGGTCCTTACTGAGCAAGCTGTGAGGCACATCCTTCCAGAGCTGCTGGCTCTGCAGGTGTGTTTATCCACACATAAATACAGCCCTGAGCTCTGTGTGTGCCTCCTGAGGCTGGCATGGCTGGCACTGCTGCTCCCTGCTCCTGCCCTGCAGCCCTGCTGGGGCCACTCTGTGCAGGGGTGGAACTTCATTTTGACTAGGAGAGTAAATGATTGTAACCACAACTGGTGATATTTGGCATTGCTTCCTGATGCTGGAAGGGAGAGGAGTCCTTGAGGACTCCTGATGAAATTCATTTTGGTGTGTTTCCATGGAAACAGGCTGAGCAGGCAGGGTCTGTGGGGTAGTGCTGGGCCTTGGTGTGCTGTTTGCAGGGATATTCCAGCTTGGAGCATGGCACTGTTCCTTGATCCTTGGGTCTGGTGCTGGGGGAGCAGGACAGGCCCTGCAGCTGCCTCTCCCTCCTGCCAGGCTCTGGGGGTGCAGGGCAGCAGCCTTTGGCAACTGAGTGCTTGTACTGGGGGGAAAACATTTCCAACAGTTAAAACAAGGGAGAATACAGACTTATCTCTCCCAGCGTGGGATGGAGCCCCGTTTTTCCACAGCAAATCTTTTCCTGCTGGCTCCTTCCTGTGGTCAAGCCTCTTTCCTGTGGCTGTGGCTTATCCCTTTCTCCCCAGCCCCCCTGCCCTGCCTGATGAGGTGTCACCACTGTCACCACTGCCATTTGAGTGCCACCGAGGGAAGGGGCAACGTCCCACCGAGTGTCTCTGAGCACTGACACCAATTCTCTGCCTCAGGGACTGGTGATGAGCCCTGCAGGGACACAGCCCCCATCCTCTGGTTCCCATGGTCAGTGAGCCCTGTGCTGTGTCCCTGTCACCCCCATGGCTGTGGCAGTGCCAGCAGTCAGTGAGCCCTGTGCTGTGTCCCTGTCACCCCCATGGCTGTGGCAGTGCCAGCAGTCAGTGAGCCTGTGCTGTGTCCCACTCACACCCATGGCTGTGGCAGTGCCAGCAGTCAGTGAGCCCTGTGCTGTGTCCCTGTCACCCCCATGGCTGTGGCAGTGCTGCAGCAGCAGCAGTGCTGCCCTGTGCATGCACACAGGAGCTCTGTCAGGAGCCAATGTTCAGCCAAGGCTCACTACGTGTGGGAGTGGAGCTGGGTTGGTCTGGAGAAGCCTGGTTTCCATTAGGAGCTGCTCCAGAGCCTGCCAAGCACGCAGGGTACGGGCTCACAGCCCCCTCCCTCCCTCCCTCCTTCCCCCCTGGGCTGACAGGGACACACAGCACATGGAGACCTCTGTCCCTGCCAGGTACCACCCCTGGGACCTGTGTGTGCTGCAGGGGACACTGGAGCTGTGGTGCCTTGTCACCTGCCCCCAGCCAGCACCCATGGAGGGGACAGACAGACAGACAGACAGAGAGATGGGGGTGCTGCTGCTTTCAGAGGGGCTCAAGGACACACACTGGGCTGGGAGGGTTGTTGGGAGGGAGGGATTGAAGATCACATGTGAGCAGCAGCAGGGGAGGGGCTGGATGGGGCCACAGCAGCGTCAGGGACAGTGATGGTGACGGGGATTTGCAGGGCATGAACAAAGATTCCCCTGAGCAAGGGCTGAATGAGCCTCCAGCCTGGCCTGAGTGAGCACTGGGGCACTGAGGGGGAATTATTTGCTGAGGTTTTCCATCAAGTCAATGACATCGTTCTGTAAGAGTTCACCCATTTACGTGCTCCAGCCCCTGGCAGCTGGGGCTAAATAGCGACATTCAGGCCTGAATCTGCCCATTCAGGAGCCAAGGTTTGACCCATCGAGGGAGCTGCTGAACGAGGCCTTTGAGGGAGAAGCAGGGACTGCACTCTGAGCCTGCACTGGGGACCCGGCAGTGCCCCCACCCCTGCCTGCCCAGGGACCTTGGGGAGGGTCAGGAGCTCCTGACCTGAGGACAGGGGAAGCAGGGCTGTCTGGGGACCTGCCAGGGTCCAGACCACTTCATTTCTTTTCCTCAACATTCATTTCAATGTTGTCCAATTTTTCTCTCCCCTTCACAGCAGCATTTCAGAGCATCCCATGATTGCCACCATAGTAGTAAGTTTTATTTTCAAATCAAAAAAAAACCCATCCATGTGCACCAAGTTCCTGTATACAGCAATCATGGTGCTGGCTTGGCAAAGCAGTGGTAGGAGCTGGTTGCCCATAAGGTCTGTGCTGTCACATCTTCCCCACTTGTAATTTCATGAATTTCTGAAAGTGCCATCTCTGTGCACTGCCACAAAGGAGTCCAGCCTGGGACTGTGCCCATAGCTGGAGTCCCAAATTAGGGGAAGCAGCAATGTAAATCACAGGCTAACATTATTCCTTTGCTTTTCGTTTTGTTGCCTGCACGCTCCTCTCTGAGGTCAGGCAAGTGCAGCCTCCCTCTGTTTGTATCTCAGGAATTGTTGTAGCTTTGTGCAGGATGATGTGGTCGATGCAGTGAGTGTGCTGTCCCTGCTGGCCCTGGGTCAGGCTCTGTGCTGGTGTCACTGTCACGTCCCAGGGCCCCTCTGCCAATGCCAGCAGACGCCGTCCAGACACGTCCTGCAGCCACACAGGGTGCAAAGAAACAAAGCATCCTTTGGGCCAGAAACCTCTCTGGAAGGTCCAAAAATAATTTGGACTGAGCCACAGGAAACATCAGGCAATTTCTTTGCTTCCAGCCCTGACTGTTCCTCACCAGCAGGAGCAGCAGGTCCCAGGGCCATCTGTGGGTGCCCCTGGCTCAGCTGTGTGCTCTGTGGCACTGTCCTTCCCTCAGGGGCTGTCTGTGTCCATGACCCCACAGAGGAACAGTTATTTTTAGTCCTGCCTTTTCCCTCACATTTATTTTCTGACTCTACAGATTTTTCTCTCATATTATGAAACGATTTCTGTGAACAGTGGCCAGCCTGTCCAACAGCCCCTGTGCTCCAAGGAGCTGTGCTGGTGCACACAGAGCCCTGGAGTATCTCCTGAAGGTTTTCCTGCAGGGAAGTGTCCCTTCCTGTCTGTAGCTGGACACAAGGCCATTGATCAGTTGTTGTACTGTGTGGTGCATCCATTAGTGCTGCAGAAGCTTTTTCAGAGCGAGAAAAACCCAAATCCAATTCTCTCTGCAGCCTCTGAGGGTTATTAATGCTGCAGCATTTTCTGCAGCGCTGAAATTCCCAATGCCTGTGGATTTTCATAACCACCCTCCTCTGGTCTTGTTCCATTCAGGATAAATTCCTAGGACATGCAGCCTCTGTAGAACAATTGCAGAAACCCACAGCTGATTGCTCTGTCCTTTTCCAGGATACTCCTCAGCAGTGCAGAAGTTCTCCCAGACTCTGCAGTCCTTCCAGTTCGACTTCATTGGTGACACACTGACGGATGATGAGATCAATATTGGTGAGTTCTCTGCTTTTTGAAGCTGACTTCCAGTAATTGGAACAGTCTCCCTCTCTAGGAATTAGCCTGCCTGATGGTTTTTAAGCAGCCTCAGGAGCGGGGTTCCAGGCAGCTCTTGCACAGCTTATTTTCTGAAGTTGAACAGTCACGGGTCGAGTTTCACATTCCCAATTCAGCGGATAATTTGCAGAGGTTTTCCATGGCTCCAGGCCTGCTCCATGCTTCCAGGTGCTGGGGAGGATGCAGTGTGGTGCTGACCTCCCAGCCAGCCCCTCTTCTCAGAGCTCTGGGAGCCCAGCTCTGGGTGCTGCTCCCAGAGCTGCCTTTGCTGTGCTGGAACAAACTGCCCCACGCTGCCCTGCAAGGGCACCAGGCTGCAAACTGCTGGGAAAAAGGGCTGCTGGATGTGTCTCAAATGGAAAACAATGGCCATCTGTGCCCTGGGCAGCCTTGCAGGGCTGCTGCCTGCACATCTGCTTGGGGATTAGTGATCCTGGAGCTGGGTTACATCCCTGCCCTCCCCCAGCTCAGCTCTGGGAGTCACTCAGCATCCACAGCCCGGGGGCCTTAATGCCCCAAACCCTGCACGTTTCACATGAATGGTGAGTGGACTCTGTGGAGGTGACAGAGGGCTGCAGGAGGGACAGCAGAGCATCCTCAGCCCCCAAGGTTCTCACCCTGCCCCATCAGACAAAACACTTGGGCCACCTGCCTGGGCTGAGGAGCTGGGGCTGCCCATGGGCTCACAGGGCATTTTCCAGGCAGGAGAATTCACAGAGCATTCATGGGGTGGGGCACAAGGCACAGGGTCTTTTCCAGGCTGCTGCCAAGGGCTGCACATAGGGGAAAAAAGAAAACCAGGTTTTGTCAGGCAGTGGTTGCAGAGTGGCAGCAGTGTGACATTGCTGGTGTCAGATCTCTCAGCTGCTGTCAGAAGGGGAAGGAAGTAGAGCCTGTTCCTTGGGCTGTTGTATTTAAAGCCACGTTAAGCAGACTGCAGCCTGCCCCTCCAAGGCTTGTTTCCTTTATGGAAAGTCTCTGGGTGAAACCCACTGGAAATGAGTCAGCCTCCAAATGTAATGGCAGCAGAGGTCTGAGCTTCCAAACACACACAGGTCAGGGAGGGGGGAACTCTGCCATGTAGATGCCCCTCCTGGGAGCTGAGGGATCTGAGGCAAACAGCCATGCAAGGAAAGGAGTGTCTGTCCTCTTGGCTGGAAGGAACAAAGCTCCAACAACCAAGCAAGGCTGCTGGGAATGACAGAGGTTGAATAAAGGGAGTGTGGGATGGGGGAGAGCAAGAGAGCAGATGTAAAACACTCCATGGTGAAAGAAGCGTGTTTCCTTTCAGTTTTGCTGGGGAGTATTTGTTTTGCTTTTTCAAGAAGAGATCCCCAGCTTGCCTGTGAAGAAGCCTGGGCTGTGTTCCTCCTCTCACCCAGGCCCTGGTGTGCCTGCAGGGGTTGAGGCTTCCTTATTCCTGACACAGCACTGGGGCGTTGACGTCTCCGTAGCAGCTTCCATCTGCCAGGGTGCCAGGGGTCTGCGTGGGAGTGCAGAGCTCATTTCATGTGCAGGCTATGGGAGTGGAGCAGAACACTTACAGGCACTTCTTAGGCACTGCAAGAGAACATGTTTGGGTTGTAAATAGAGCTAAAGTCACACTGCTCTCTCCTTGTGTGGGCACAGAGCAGCCAGGCACGCGAGCGGGTGGCAGCGGGGACACTGCAGGTGGCAGCCAGGACACTGGGCTGATGTTGTCTGTTGTGAGCAGCACTTTCCCCATGGGATGTGAAAGGCCATGGATGCACCTGTGTCACCCCACAGCTGCAGCCCCTCCTGTGCTCCCTCCTGCAGCTCCTCCACTGTCACCTCACAGGACCCAAATCAGCAGCTCCTGCAGAGATGGAGGGGGCAGTGAGATGGGGTGGCATGTTCTTCCCTCCCAGGCACAGGAACCTGCAATCCTGTAAGGACCTTCCTGGAATGCTGCTGGCTGCTCAGCAGAGTCACTCTGGCATTTCCAGGTGTCAGTTCCCAGCTGTGGCTGGGCAGGCTGTAGCTGCTGGTGGCCCCCCTGCTCCACACTGCCCTGATGGGCTGGCAAATTCTGACCCAGGCCAGTAGCACAGATCCACCCCAGGCACTGCTAGGCTGGCAGCAGGATCTGAGCCTTGTGTGTGGTGCAGGGTCAGCAGTGGGCTGTTCTGTGACTGGAGCCAGGAAACATGTTCCTGGGCTCTTCCTGTAGATCAAAAGGGAAAAATGGCTGGGGAACATTTTAGGCACTGACATATTTCCCTGTAAGTTTGGGGCTGGATTTTTAATCCCTGTGATAATTCTTTTCCTGGCTCAGGCCCCTGGTGTGCATGCACTCCACCATCCTGGGGAGCCACAGTGACAGCCACGTGTGGCCCTGGGTGTGAGCACCATGAGCTGTAGAGCCATTGCATTGCTGGGTGCTGGAGCCCTCAGTGCAGGAGAGCTCAGAAGCTCCTGACTCATCAGGAAGGTCTGTTGTGCCACTGCAGCTCAGGGCCCATGGCACAAGGCTGCAGTTTTTCCCTTTTGTGTGTCTCAGCAGCTGCAGAATGAATCCTTACACTGGATTTTAGGACAGGTACCTCTCCCAAGGTGCTGCTGTGATTGAGGGGAGAGGACTCTCAGCTTGCACAGGGAGCACAGGAGCACCTTCTCCCTGACCTGTGGGACAAGCTAATCCTGTGGCTGCATTGCTGTACAGCTGCTGTGCCCCCTCGTGTGCTGCCCTGCCCAGCCCAGCAGGGAGGGAGGGTCTGAACTGCAGAGCTCTGGGGTCTGACAGAGCCACTCTGGGATGTTCCCACCAGGACAAGAGGGAGCCTGGGACCCACCAGACCTGTCCCACGCTGTGCTGAGCAGGCTGGAGCTGTGGGAAACTTTCCCAGCTAACTCCCAGGTAGTTCCCAGGTGCACTGGGGTGATCAGGTTGTTCCCCCAGGCAGCCAGCACACAGCCACAGTACCTGCATGGGCAGGTGTTTGCCCAGCCTTGCCTTGCAGCCCAGAGAGAGGGGAGTTTGGCTTGGCACTGTCAGTGCTCTGCTGCTGAGGGGTTTCCTCCCCTGGAACAAATTCAGCCCCTTCCCAAGTTCTCCTTTGATGGGCAGGGAGAGGGGCTGCACGTTCCCCCTTGGTGTGGGGTCAGCTGCTCCCACCTAGTCTTTTATCTCCCCAGGTTGAATTATTCTTATTTCAGTTTGTTAAAGGAAAGGTTTAATGCTATTTTTATTGTAGTTGGACTCCAACTGTTTATCAATGGGATCTTTTTGTTTCACTGCTGACATTTTGGGGAGTGGTGTCAGTGTCTGTGACCATGTCTACACCTGCTGCCTTTCCTCCTGTACATGGACTTTGTGCCTCCTGGTGAAGTACGTCATCTTTGTCATTCCAGGCCATTTTTATTTGACACACTTGTCCTAGTCCTGGCAAGCCCCTGCAGCTCTTCCTGGGACAGAGGTGGCACCTAGAGCTCATCCTGGTGCTGATGGCAGCTGTCTGGGCAGGCCAGGCACCCCTGTCCTGCCCAAAGTGGCAGGGCCTGTCCTGCTGCAGGCCCTGGGGATGGCAGCTCCCCTTCCCCCTGTTTGGCTTTCCCTGCATTTGCCCCTTCTCTGCCACCTGTATTGCCACCTCTATAACACAGTTCCTAATAAAAGCTAATTAACATCCTCTTATCTTCCCAGGGACTTCACTCCTTCATTGCCTGGGCAGGAGACCTTCCTGTCCCTTGCATACATAAATACCCCTCAAGGCCAGCCTGCACCTGCCATTGCCTCACTCAGTTTCTGCCAAAAGGAGCCTCCTCTTCTTGGTTTATTGTCAGCCTTTAGATGACCATGCTGGGGGTGCAGCCACATTGGGGTGTCCTGACATGTGTCACACAGGGTGTGACAGTGCCACATCCAGTGCCTCATCCCAGTTCCCCTGACCAGCCTCTTCTTTTCTTACAGCCGAGTCCTTTAAGGAGTTTGCAGAGCTGCTGCAAGAAGTGGAGCTGGAGAGATCCATGATGGTAAGGAGATGGGAGCTGGGCTCTGTCATTCCTGAATGCCAAATCACAGCCACAGCACCATGTGCCTCTGTGTTAGCCTTCTCATCAGAGGGAAGCTGGGAGCACTGGGAACGTGCTCTGTACTCATCTGTCCATGCTCCCTGAGCATGGGCAGGCACAGCAATAGGACTGGGGGGCTGTGGTTCTCCCAGGCAGCTCAGGCAGGCACAGAGCCTCAGGTCCTGCAGCTGGAGGGGCTGCTCACTGTGGGGAAACCAAGGGTTAAAGAATCAGGAATGTTTTTGCTCAGTTTTTGTTGGGTGCAGGAAGGCAGGTGTCCCTGAGCCCATCAGTGCTGGTGCAGCTCCTGCAGTACAATGCACTGCCATCAGCTTCCTGCTGCCATGTGCCCTCAGCTCTCCAGGCTCCTCCAGAGCCAGTGCTGGCTTCCCATTTCACTCCTAATTCCAGGAAAAACATGAAGGTTAGGCTCGGTGGAGAGCGTGCAGCACGCCAGGAATGTGCTGCTTGGCTCTGCCTTCCCCTGCCTCGTGCAGCAGCAGGAGCTCCTGCCAGGCTGGGCCAGAGGGTCCCTGGGCAGGCAAGGAACAGCAGGAAACCAGGAAAGCACTGAGATACTTCTTTATTATGAATGACATCCCAGGTACAGTGGCTCCTTTGGCAGTGGGGGGAGCATGGGAAGGTGTTTCAGGGGTTATGGGCACTGTCCAATTTTCAAAGTTGGGGTTTTTTCCCCTCTACTTGCAGGATCAATTCTGTTTTACAGCGGCTCTCTCAGGAGGTTTCACACTCACTCACTCACTGTGTTCATCAGATTTAACTTCCCTGAGGGGCTGTGCTGTGTGGTGTCCTGTCCCCTGCTGTCCCCCTCTCCCTTCTCTGGAGCTTGGGGCAGAGCCTGTCAGGGAGGTGGGGATGGGAGCAGACAGCAGGCTGGTCCCTGTGCCAGGCTGGAGCTGGAGCCAGTGATACAAACTGGGATGAGCTCACTTTCACGTGGATTCATGGTAAAGGTGGGCAGAGCACCATCCAGGGAAGATCTCTGAGACCTGAGACAGGAGTGGAAGAGACACAGGCAGGCTTTCCCTTTTCCCTAGCTGTTCTGTGACAGATAACCTGCTGGCTGAATCTCGAGACAAGGGAACCCCATCCTTTATTTGAGGTGGGGGACACTCCCTGTGACCCACAGGATGTCCCCAAAGCCTCCTGGGATGTGGCTGGGTTTTGCAGTGTGTCACCCATGAGGAAGAGCAGGTACAGATGGTTTAAGTGAATTCACGTACAGAAAGAGAAGAAGTTTCCAGTCAAAAACATTAAAATCTCAGAGCTCTTGGCTTCTAGCCCTGTTCAGCCTCTGTTTAGGAGAAAATTGATCAGCACCCTGCAATTAAAATGCTTTTTCTTTGCACTGTAGGTGCAGAATGCAAGTGATTTGCTGATCAAACCTTTGGAAAACTTCCGGAAGGAGCAGATAGGATTCACCAAGGTAAGGTTTGTTTGTTTGTTTTCAGTGTAAACAGATTTGTTTTCTGTTACTGTCTTTGAATTCAAATTTTTCTCCTGTTGTTGTTAACAAGCAGTTGCTCTACTGCATTCTGACTTCAGGCACTCAGAAACTCCCTGTTCCATGCTGGCTTTCAGCTGCTGGCTGAGGGTTCGTGCTGTGACTTTTAGTCTGATTTTTCAATCTTAAGAGTCTCCAAAATCTTTTCCTGAATTCTCTGGGTTTTCTCCTGGCCTGATTCCAGCGCTGCCTCTGTCCTGGGCAAGGAGTGCTTGTTTCAGCCAGGAGATCCTCCTTGCTGCTTTACCCCCTCTCTCCTTTGTTCAGTCAGTGCTATTGAAAAGAAAATACTTTCTGCAGAGAAGTGTGTGGTGGAGTGGGAGGGAGGAAGGGAAGGAGGGAAAACAGGAGAGGCCAGCAAGCAGAACCTGATTATAGTCATAGGGCTTTTGTTATGAAATATTTACATAAAGCATCTAATGAGTCTTTCAGATGGACCAAACTTTTAAAGAAACAAGCTATAAAAAGCAAATTCTGCACATGTGGAGCACAAAAGATCATTTTTCCCTTGTCTGCTATCAAGAAATCCAGGTTCCATGTTACTCAGCGGCAGCTTAAAATGGGGCTGGCTCTGGCCCAGCTCTGAAATGGAGATGTTTTGGAGAACACTTGAGGCTTGGATTCAGCCCAGCCCATCTGGAGGCTTTGACTTTTAATAAATATAGGGTTTGAGAAGAGATACTTGATGGCCCTCCTGCCCTCTGCCATGCCCTGAGGGCTGGTGTGTGGAGCCCTCTGAAGAGCTGCAGCCATGAGCATGGCACAGGTGCTGCCCACAGCCCCTGCCCTCGTGTCCTTCAGGCTGGTTTTGTCCCAGAGAGCCCTTAAGGTGTGTAAGGGCCATTCTGCCCCCAGCCCAGAGCGTGCTGTGCCCCGAGAGCTGAGCTGGCTGCACCCACAGGCCTGTGCCCGTGTCCTGCTCCCTTTCTTGATGGCAGGCACAGGTCTCAGCAGGGCTGGTGCCACAGCCCCAGCACTGACACGGACTCACCTGGCAGCCTGCAGCCCCTCCTCAGCCCCTGTGCATGGGCAGGGCACTCTGTGTGGAAGCACAGGGTGGTGACAGTGGCAGGACACTGCTCAGAGCAGCTGGAGAGGTGGCAGAGGGCAGGGGGGTGTTGCAGGTGGCTCAGCCATTGGAGTTTGGTTTGGGGTTTTGTTTCTTGTGAGGAGCATGAGCTGCAGAGGTGCCAGGGCACTGTGGTGGGAAGAGGGCTGTGCTGTGGCTCCATTCAGGGCTCACAGGGCTCACTTCCCTGACACTGCACCCTCAGGTGTCACCCTGGGCACAGAGCCTTCCTTCACCTGCCAGCCTGACCCACAGCATCTCTGGGTCATCCCCACCCAGCAGCAGGAGGGGGGAAGCACCAATGAGGCTCCTCATTTGTGCTCTGTCAGTGTGGGTTCCTCCCACCACTGCTGGGCCTGCCATCACCCCATGGACCCTTTCTGATCTGCACCAGGGCCAGAGGCCCAGGCCAGGCTGTGGAGCAGCCTGGAGACATGACACAGGGAATTTGTGCCCTCTGCTCAGTTTCCGTATTTTGGCAGCGTCGCCTTCTGTGAGATGTTTCCTGTTCCCTTTGCGAGCTGCTGCAGCCAAATAGGAAGAGCCCTTGAATCGAGGCTTTGTGATGCCTCTGGCTGGAGCACAGCCAGTCTGAGCAGCACATCTGAGTGTGCATTCAGCCGGGAGCAGGGGAGTCTCCTCTGTGCTCGCACACGGGGCAGCCCCGGCTGCGCCGGGACCCCTCCAGCTGCTGCCTCCCGCCACAGCCCCAGGGTCGCTGCTGTCAGTGGGAGTGACCTGCCCCAGCACAGATAAAAGGGAGGCTCTGGGACCCCCTGAGCTGACCCATTTCTGGCACTCAGGGCAGGGGGTGAGTTTGGGAAGGAGCTGGTGCACTTGGAGGTCCCATCCCTCCTTCTCTATAGCCCCGGGGCTCGGATCCACGCTGTGGGGCTGGGACCCTTGGGGAAGAAGCTGGCCACACTTACTGAGCTGAGGAGGATTTGAATAGGAAAGTTTAATTCCAGTTTAACTTGGAAGGAGACAGCTTTTTTTAAAAAAACACAAAGCCAACCAAAAAAATCAGAGAGAAAACCTTGCTGGGATGTACTGTAAGGGCAGGAGGAATGCTGAATAGCTGCAGTGTTTGTCAAAATTTCTTCCATAGGAGATAATGTATTCCTAAAAGGTCTTAGTAAATTCTGTTATTAATTTCATTAATTATAATTTTAAAAGAAAGGGAGGTTAATAACTTCTACTTGCTTTCATCTCTGGGGGAGTGGGGCCTAAGGAGCATTTGAGAGAAAGCAGTGGGTGAGGGAAAACACCAGGATGAACTGAGTGTGCTTTGGCAGAACTGCTCTTTCTACACCCCTCAACTTTTTAGAAATCTGTTTTTGAATTAACTGCAGATGCCTTATAAAAATGAGCTGTGATGATCCTGCATCCACTGTTCTTGCACCCAGACCCCTCAGGTGTGCATGGAGGTGGGGGCTCCCAGCAGGAAAAGTGTGTTTAATTCCTTAGGGAGAGGAAAAGTGGCCTGTGAGCTGGGCTTCTCACCTGCCACTCACCCCACCTCCCTGAAAATGGGAATTTCAGAGGATCCTAATTAGCAACTAATGATTAAGGGGGAGTTTTGGCAAGTCTGTTTGCCCTTTTCCCCCTGATGAGCTGGACCTGAAGCTGCCAAGGGGCTCCAATGTCACCCCAGTGCTGGTGGCAGTTGGGGTGTGGGCAGGACCTGGCACACACAGAGCAGCCAGAGCTGCTGCTGCATCACCTGCCTCAGCAGGCAGGCAGTGCTGTCCCAGGGGCTGTGCCATTCCTGGGCACAGCAGTGCCTGCCAGAGCTCCCATCATGGGCTGTGCCATTCCTGGGCACAGCAGTGCCTGCCAGAGCTCCCAACATGGGCTGTGCCATTCCTGGGCACAGCAGTGCCTGCCAGAGCTCCCAACATAGGGCTGTGCCATTCCTGGGCACAGCAGTGCCTGCCAGAGCTCCCATCATGGGCTGTGCCATTCCTGGGCACAGCAGTGCCTGCCAGAGCTCCCACCATGGGCTGTGCCATTCCTGGGCACAGCAGTGCCTGCCAGAGCTCCCACCATGGGCTGTGCCATTCCTGGGCACAGCAGTGCCTGCCAGAGCTCCCAACATAGGGCTGTGCCATTCCGGGGCACAGCAGTGCCTGCCAGAGCTCCAGCACAGGCTGTGCCATTCCTGGGCACAGCAGTGCCTGCCAGAGCTCCCAACATGGGCTGTGCCATTCCTGGGCACAGCAGTGCCTGCCAGAGCTCCCAACATAGGGCTGTGCCATTCCTGGGCACAGCAGTGCCTGCCAGAGCTCCAGCACAGGCTGTGCCATTCCTGGGCACAGCAGTGCCTGCCAGAGCTCCCATCATGGGCTGTGCCATTCCTGGGCACAGCAGTGCCTGCCAGAGCTGCCAGGGTGTTTCAGAGCCCCCTCCTGCCTGCCCTCGGTAGGATCTGCTCGGTGTCTCCCAGTGAGCGATAAACAGAAGATGGGTGGTGCCTCTTGGCAAACCTTAATGCAAACGTGGTGCTGCCCTTTGATGAATATTCATGAGGAACTAATTTGTGCTCATGTTTCCAGATTGTGCTTCAGTCTGGGTGATTTTTTTGTGTTGTTTTTTTTTTCTGTCTTGGCTTGCTCTGGTCAGCAGCCAACTCAGAAGGATTTGTAGGTCATCCTTCTGCTGTTCAGTTATATGCTAATTACCAGGGTGGGAATGATTGGCCAGCTCCCTCTTAGTGGCCCAAAATGCCACACTGCACTGTGGTCCTGTCACACGTGGGTCCATCCTGGACATCATTCCCAGTCCCTTCAATCCCCAGAAAGAGCTCAGTGCTCCATGTCCCCAGTGTGGCCCTGCCTGCCTTGGGTGCTGCCAGAGGAGGAGGCACTCCCCAGAGCAGTTCCTGTCTGGCTGCCCAGCTCCTGCTGCAGAAGGAGCTCCACTGCTCTCCCAGGCTCTTCCTTTCTCTTCACCAGTCTTTCCTTGAGCAGAGGCAACCCCTCTTCCTCAGAACCCACCAGGGAGCTGTCCACAAGCTGGTGACCAAGCTGCTGCCTGGTGGTTTGTGGTCTCCCTGTGGCTGCAGGCTGTGGCCTCCTGTGGCCATCTGTGTGGGCACCACAGCCACACACAGCTCGTGGCCTCCTGGCCACGTGCACGGGCCCCACAGCCTCCCACAGCAATGTCACCTCCCCTTGGGGACAAGCCAGGGGCCACGTGCTCCCAGGCTGCTGCATCCAGAGGCACATCCCCCTGCCCACGGGCTCTGCCGTGCCCTGCTGTGGTAGCACCAGGCTCTGGTGGTTCCCTTGCCCTGTGCTTCCCACAGCTCCTGGATGTGACCGTGTTCACAGGGGTCCAAGGATGAGGGAAGAGACGAGGATCTGACTCCATGTTTCAGAAGGCTGATTTATTATTTTATTATATATATTATATTAAAACTATACTAAAAGAATAGAAGAAAGGATTCCATCAGTAGGCTAGCTAAGAATAGAGAAAGAAGGAATGATAACAAAGGCTTGTGTCTCGGACAGAGAGTCCGAGCCAGCTGGACTGTGATTGGCCATTAATTAGAAACAACCACATGAGACCAATCACAGATGCACCTGCTGCATTCCACAGCAGCAGATAATTATTGTTTACATTTTGTTCCTGAGGCCTCTCGGCTTCTCAGGAGGAAAAATCTTAAGGAAAGGATTTTTCAGAAAATATCATGGCTACACCTGGTACAGGTGAGCAGCCTCCCTGATGGAGAGCAGGAGAGGTTGGTCCCAGCTCTGGCCTGCAGTGTGGCTGTCTTCCCTGGTGGCCTCTCCACAGGGTGGGGACAGCTGAGTCACCCTACGTGCGCTGCTTGCTGGTGGTGAGAGGTGGGAGAGAACTCCTGGAGTGGGCTCCAGCCCCATTGCTGCTGCTGAGGAACGGGGATGGCACCATCCCAGTGCTGCCACCACCTCTGCACACCACCTTGCTGGAGACAGTGGAGCCCTTGGTTGGGTTTGGAGCTAGCTTTCCATGGCATCACCTGCTTTTCTATCTCAGGACCTGCTGCTGGCACAGCCATCTCCTCTGGGATGTGAGGAGGTGGCATCAGGAGCCTGCAGCCCCACAGCTCTGCTTCCCTGCACTTCTGTGGCCTTGGAGGCTCTCACTGAGGAAATGGAAACAAGAAAAGTTCCTGGCTGCATTAGACAGGGCATTAATGGCACAGACAGCCCAGGAGTTTGACCTTACAGACACAGGAACTGCTGCTCCTCAAACGCTTTTGCTGCTCTGGGTTTGGAGTTGCTGATCAGGGCCTTAGTCACGAGGGTGCTGGTTTGTTTTCATCATCCTTCCTGGCCTCAGCCCCACAGTTGCTGCACTGCTTAAATTAGGATTCGCCCTTGGAGGGCTCTCTCTTCCTCTGGATTTGATGTAGACCTCTCTGTTCTGGTGTGTGAGGCTGCTAACACAGAGTCACAGTACCTGATACTGCAGGGGGTGATTGCAGAGGATGCACTTCCCTTCAGGTGTCCTGTAATCCCAGGCTCTGCACAGCAGGATATGCAATTGCTGAGGTGAAAAGGTTTGCTGGGCTAAGCCTGCCCTGCTCCAGACACTTACACATAAGCAGGGGTTGGTGCCACTTCCTCATGGTAATTGTGCTTTCACTACAGCCGTGGCAGGACTCATGGGGAGAGAATCCTCTTCCCTGGAAGGCAGCTGCTAGGAAGGCTTGGTACTATTGTTGGGAGCCACCTGTGCTGAGCCCACTTGGGGGGGAGTTTTGGGAAACTCCCAGGGGTTTTGGGAGCCCCCAGGCATCCTGCTGCAGGGCATCCTGACAGACAGATGGAATAGGCTGTGCAACTGGAACAGGGAAGCAAAACCTCAGGCAGGGGAAGCTGTGGTCACTGCTGAATTCATGAGGAAAGTTCCTAATACCCAGCAGTCTGGCAGAGCCCATCTGCTCTGGCTGTGGCACTGGTGTATGCTTGCTTATCCAGGCCATGCATTTGTGAGTGGGGGCAAGAGAACAGGATTTCAGGGCTTGCAGGGGATAGATGTTGAAAGATACCAGTAATTCCCCAGGAAGCTGGAACTGCCTTCCACTTTGTGGAGCTTTCAAAAGCCAGACAGAAGATCTGGGCATCCCATACACACCTGCACTGTGTGTACACCAGCTCTCAACTGCTTGGACCTGGCACTGAGGCTGCTGCCAGGCTGGAATTTCCTGATTTCAGTAATTTAGTTGCCTCCCAGGAATCCCTGATATGTCAGATACCATCTAAAGTGGATATTTGTCAACCTGGCCCCTACTCTGGTTGTTTTGTGATTTCCAATGTCAGAGTCAGTGTAGGCAGGAGCCAAGAGCCTGGTGCTGCCTGCCTGCTCTCAGGGGCTCCTTCTTGAGTTCCTTCTCTGTTTGCTGCTCTTGTTCATTTGTGCTCTCTTTGCAGCACTGCTGAGGGCAGATGAGGATTTCCTGCCTGCCTGATGACCTGCCAGGCTTCTGCTTTCCTTCTGGTACTCTCAGAAACAAATGATAAACTCTTTAGAGCAGAAAGTTGCCAAAATCTAATGAACCTTTTCTCGACCTTGCTGTGCCTCTGACATTGCAGTGTTTGCCCAGTTGTTTCTGGGCTGTGTGAACAGCATGTCAGGAAGTGGTGAACAGGTTTTTGATGTATGAGCACATCTTCAGTTTACTGGATATTGAAGAGATTGAGAGTGGAGCTTCTGCCATGATGTTGGCATGAAAAAATACTTCTTGTATTGCTAGACTGGGTCTTGAGGTGTAATTGCATCCAAGGTAGGCAAGGGGCTGTGAAATCAGAGCAAATGAGAAGTGGCCTTCTGTTCTCTGGCTGGGTTGACCAAAATTTGTCCATGGGAATACAGAATTGCACAAAGAATCTCGGTGTTGATGCATGTTCTTATCTGGAAAATGCCAGTAACTGGTTCTGCTTCAACCTCTTTTCATCTACAGGAAAGAAAGAAAAAGTTTGAGAAGGATGGTGAGAAGTTTTACTCTATGCTGGATCGCCACTTGCATTTGTCTTCCAAAAAGAAGGAATCTCAGTTACAGGAGGTGTGTATGGAATTTTTCTCAAAGTTAGGTCCAGAATCAACAGCACCAACTGCTCTAGTTCTTAAAAAAAGGGAGAGGAATCATCCCTTCAAGTAACTAATTGAAACTGATAATCAATTAAATCTACCCAAGGCCTGACTTCTCTGTGAGACCAGGGAAATCAAGCTCAGTTCTCCTGTGTCTGCTGGATGCTGGTAGTGGCTTCAGACATTGTCATTGCTTGTTGTCACCTTGATGGTGAAGGGCAGTGACCAGTGGCACTGGCACAGCTGGGGGCTGGCCACCCTTTCACCTGGGGAAGTGCTCTGGCTGAAAATAACCAGTTATTATTCCTTTTGCTGGCCTGGTGTCCTGCCAGAAGCTGGTGCTTCTGGGTGGCTGTGGGGGCAGGCAGAGGAAGGGGGCTCCTTCCAGCTGGTGCTGCTGCAGGCATGTTGCAGCAAGGAAGGAAAGGCAGCTGGATCTGGTCAGATCTGTCAGACCAGTTGTCACATCAACCTACGAGCATCTCTGCAAGGCAGACTGTGTTTGAGCTCATTGTGTGCTCCTGCCACTGCTGCAGCTCCAGAGCTGCTGGTTCTGGGACACAGATGGAGCCAGGCAAGAGGGTGGAGATGGTGGCCTTGTCAGGAGAAGAGGTTTGTGCTAAAGTAATAAACGAGCTTTGGGAAAGCCTTTTCCTTGCAGAGTGAGAAGAGGTTTTGGATCCTTGAATGAAAGGGAGCCAGAAATGGGCAGACTTAAAAGAATATCCAATGTTAGAGCTCACAGCTGGGCTGGACACCAGGCAGGATTTCAGTGAGGACAGAACTATGTGTGGGCTGACAGACAAAAGTGAGTCCAATATTTTCAAACTACAGATGATGTATTTTCTTTTTCCACCTTTCCCTCTTTCTTCTAGGCTGACCTTCAGGTGGACAAAGAAAGACACAATTTCTTTGAGTCCTCCCTTGAGTATGTGTACCAGATCCAGGAAGTACAAGAAAGCAAGAAATTCAGTATTGTGGAGCCGGTAGGAGCCTCCTTTGCTCTCAGTCTCATTGGTTGGTGCTCAGATGTGCTGGCAAGGGATGAGCTGCCAGGTTGGATTAGGTCCTGTGGGGCAGGAGCACTGTGAAAACCCAGTCCTGTTTCTTCTGGCTATCTGTGGATCCTGAGGGACAGGCTGGACACTGCACAGAGCTACAGGTCTTGTTATGACTTGCCCCCCTGGGTTTGGTAAGAGCTGTCTGTCTGCAGAGTGACAGAGGTGTTACCTGCCCTGCTCCCCTGTCCCAGCCTGGCCTGCAGAGTCCCAGACTGTGGCTGAATGCAGGGACCCTGCCCTGGGTGCTGGCTCTGCCCCAGCTGCAGTGGGGTGTGGGATCCTGTGGGTATCTCTGCAGATCTGCTCTGGGTCTCCCTGCAGGGTCTTTCATTCTGGGTGTTTTATTCAGACAGATATGGGTGGTAGCTTGGGCTTTAGGGACACTGTGGCGGATAAGCCATGCCAAGGCTGGCATTCCAAAGTTGTGAGGAAAAAATAATTGCATATTAATTTCTGAAACCCCACACTCTGTCCATCTTTCCTTCCATTACAAACACAGAAGTTCAGCGTGTCCCTTCCCTCCATTGCAGGTGCTGGCATTTCTCCACAGCCTCTTCACTTACAACAACCTGACAGTGGAGCTGACACAGGATTTCCTCCCATACAAGCAGCAGCTCCAGCTCAGCCTGCAGAATGTGAGTCCCTGCCCAGCTGAAGGACTTTTCTGTGTGACTTCTGTTCTCATTTGTATTTACACACCTCTGATGGCAAGGTCTTTCCACCCAAGCAGTCTGGCCATGTTTGCATTGTTGCAGATACAGTTGTTTCCTTCTCAGTTCACATGGGTTTTCCCCTCTCTTCATGGGACAGTTCACAGGTCTATGAAATTGTTTTCTCTGGAAGGGGCTACTCCAGTTGCATCATTTAACCTGGTGCATAAACAATCAGGAGATTGAAATTGTACTCTAAGAAGGCCTCTAACCTTGATCTTAATGGTACTGGCTTCCTGCAGGCTTGCTGCATGCTTTGGTAAGCTCCTCTGCTGGCCAAGTGTGCTCATGGGGTAGAATATCTGAGTCCTGTTTCCTTTATCTTCAGTCTCTCCTGACTGACCTTCATTTCTGTGGAACAGCAGCCATAAATCTGAGCCAGGATGGTTTTGCTGCTGGCTCATTAATTGGTCCAAGTAGTATTCCATCAAAATGCCTGGATTTTGTACCCCCTGTTGATGTGACTCTTTCATGCTAAGCACTGTAGCATGATCAACACCTTTGGGAGGGGAATACACCTGAGCAATGGGAGCTCCTCTGCTCCAGCCAGCCTTGAAATGTGCTCAAGTTCCTTAACTAAGGGAACAAGTGGCCTCCCAGCTGTGTCACTCAGCACCATCTCTGCACATGATGTGTCTCTTCAATCATCCCTTAGAGCTCAGTGGTTCTTATAGCCAGTTTCCAGTGGATTTGTGGAGTGGTTTCCATGTTTTGTACCTTGGGAACGGATTCATTTCTGCTACAGCACCTCAGATTTATCCAGGAATAAATAACCTGCAGCTCACTTTTTGCTCATATTCAAATATGCTTCTGTTTGTTGTCTGTTCCCAGACAAGGAATCACTTTTCCAGCACACGGGAGGAGCTGGAAGATCTGAAGAAGAGGATGAAGGAAGCACCCCTGACCTGCAAGCTGCCTGGGCAGCCCACCATCGAGGGCTACCTGTACACCCAGGAGAAATGTAATTAATGGCTCTGGGATGCAGATGGATGTAATAGGGAATGGGGCTGCACTGGGTGTCACCCCAGCCAGGCACAGCAAGCCCAGGGTGTCACCTTCTGCCACTGCCTGAGCTGTCACTGCCTGCAGTGCCCGGGGAAGCACTGGCAGCCTCAGCTGGCAGCACTGGCAGCAGTGGCACAGAGCTCTGTCCAAGTGACATATCTGTGACAGCACAGGGATAATTGCCCTGCACTCTGATGAGATGGGATTTATGACTCCAGAGCCTGGAGCTCTGGCAGGCTCTGTCTTGGCTGTGTTTTACCAGGATGAATCTGGTGTCCTGCCCAGCCTCCCTCTGGCAGCCTCTGTGAGCAGCTGAGCACAGCCAAGGTGGAACCAGTGCTGAGTTAAGCTGCTGAGAGCAAAACTTGTAATTCTGAGCAGAATAAAATCAGACCAAATACAGCCTTTTCCAAAACCTGGCTGCAGCTCTCCATGGCCATGCAGCAGGAATGCTCAGAGGACATAAGTCTGTGCAAACTGTGACCTCTGGGGCTACAGACAACTTTGTAAGCATTCATTCTTAATCCTACCTAGAAATCTATTTATACATAGATTTTTATGTCTGTTTATCTTGCTTTTAAAAGAAAGCACACTCAGTAATTTTAGATCCTAAATGTGGCATGTTCCTGCAGGCCAGTGGCTATTTTCTGCCTCTGTTTATGCTTCCCTATGAATCAAGTATGAAAAGTTGTTCTTCCTGACAACTGCAACTTAACAAATTATAGAAAAAACACCAGTTGAATTATTTCCTATAAATGGGTTCAGGTAAGAAAATAGAGGAAAGTGACTATGAATCTGGAAATAGGAACTTCAGAGTATTTCAAAGCTGCTGTTGTCTTCATTATTGAGTTTTCACCCACAGGAAAAAGTAGTGGGGTTTGTGAAACAGACATTCAGGACATGTAGGATCCTGCCCAGTGTAGGTCTTGGCTGGGCTGGGCCAAACCAGCCTGGCTTGTGGTCAGAGTCCCACAAATGCCCTTTCACCAGCTGTGAGTTGGGAGAGTGCTGGAGGCAGCTGCTGCCCTGTGCTCCTCTCCTCCTCCCCTCCTCCTGTTTCTCCTCTCCTCCTGCTTCTCTCTTCATCTCCTCCCCTTTCTCTCTTCCTCCTCCTCTCCTCTTCTTCTCCTCCTGACTCTTGGAGACACCTGCAAGGTTGATGTCCTCAGGGCTGTCAGTGTCCATCCCCAGAGAAGGGAGGACACATGGGCAGCACTGACCATGCCTTGCTGGCTGCACCCAGCAACAGCCCTGTCCCTGATTCCAGCCTCTCCTGTGTTCTGCAGGGGCCCTGGGCATCTCCTGGGTGAAGTATTACTGCCAGTATGAAAAAGAGGCCAAAACCTTACGGATGACACCCATAGACCAGAAGCCTGGAGCTAAGCAGGTGAGTTTTGGATGTCTGCAAACATTGGCCCAACCACTGGGCCCACCTTCCACCCATGTGTGCCTCCCTTCCTGTGACAGCTGACCCTGCAGGTGCCACAGAGCAGGGGAGTGGGCTCTGTCCCCTCCCTGCCCACACAGGGCAGTTTGGTGTCACCTGGAAGAGGCACCCCCATGAGGAGAAGTCTCACTCCACTGTGTCCCTGGGAGCCCAGGCCCTGCAGGCTTTGGCAGCAGACGTGGGTCGTGTGACATGAGAGATACCAGACAGTGCTGGCCCATGAGTTCAGTCTGGGGTGAAACTTGTGCTTCTCTGGGCCAGCTGATGTTGATCCTTCCCCGTGCACAGGGGCTGGAAGCCACAAGAACTGTGGCAGCCACTGAAGGGCCTGAATGACTCAAGTTACTACAGGAGTTCCTGCTTCCAAATGCAGCATTTCCTCACAGCACTGCGTGCTCACAGTGGTTTGTGGTTTGATTTCTGCTCTCAGCACTGGTTCTTCGGGACTGGGACAGTGTGGGAAGAGAAGAGGGGTAACAGTGCAGCTCCAAACTGCATTAAGGCAGCACTTTGAGTAACTGCTTCTTTCAGAAAGTGCTTTGGCTTACCAAAGGCTGGGAGTTCCCTCAGTCCCTCCTCGTGACAGGGGAGGGGTGGGAGGATGGAGCTCAGCCAGTGCCTCCAGCTGAATCCCCCGCCCTCCTCTGCCATGGAGTGGTCCCCGGGGCCTTCCCAGCCAGGCGTGTGTGCTCCAGTGTGTGAGCTCATGCTCTGCTTTTGGCAGGGCTCTGCACACTGCAGCAGGAAAATAAAATAGATGTTTTGCAACCCCTTGGCAGAGAGCTGGGCAAAGAAATAGCCAAACTATTGTATGGAGAGATTTGTTGTCATTTATGCTATAAGCATGTCTAGTAAGGCCCATTACTGCAGGAAGGAGATGGGAAAACTTAGTGTCTTTCCCAAACACTGGTAGCCTGCACCATCAGGTCACAGCTGGCCACAAACCCACAATTGAGTTATGAATTAACTCTGCTGTGGAGTGCAGGGACACAAACACCCAGGGCCAGAGCTGAGCCTCTCCAGAGCATGTCTGCTCTCTCTGGGGTGGGGAAATGTACCTCCCTTGGCCCCACAGTGTTTGTGTAAAGCCATTTGGTTTGTTGGTGGTGTGGGTAACTGGTACTGATGACCAGCCCTGGTAAAAATTAGACCCCAGCTGTGTCAGAGCATGGGTGAGCGTGGTCCTGGCCTCAGAGACGGGGAGTGCCTCTCTGGGTTGGTTGGAGAGGTGTTCCAGCCCTGCAGGGGCAGAGTGCTGCTGTGTGGGGTAGTGCTGTTGAGTCCTGAACATTCTCTGGCTGGGAGCAAGCCTGGAACTCAGAGCCTCATCTGCCTGTGATGATGGTGGGAGGAACACGTGTGCCCTGGTACCAGTGCCATTGGAATGTCAGCACAGGAGCCATGGGCAGTGCTGTGCTGGGCCTGGGGAGCCCAAAATCTCCCATGTTTCTGTCCTCTCACCTTGCCTTTCATGTTCTGTCCTAGGGTACCTTGGACTTGACCCTGAAATCCTGTGTAAGGAGAAAGACTGACTCCATAGACAAAAGGTTTTGTTTTGACATTGAAACTAATGAAAGGTGAGAGGCTTTGTGTCTGGTGGCCCCAAACCCCAGGCCTGCAGCAAATCCCTCTTTGCTGTCTATTAAAACCAACTTTTTTTCCTTTCCCTGCCTGTCCCTGGGGGAATTCGGCGCAGATCCGGGACCATCACGCTGCAGGCGCTGTCAGAAGCCAACCGAAGGCTGTGGATGGAGGCCATGGACGGGAAGGAGCCGGTGAGTGTCCCTGGAGCCGTTCCCAGCTGGAATGCGCTGCCCAGCAGTGTCCTCTGCCGGCGGCCGCTGCTCGGGATCACTGCTGCACCCTCACCACGGGCTCCCTGCCCTTCCCTCAGCTCCCGCTGGGGATTTTGGGCTTTCCCCCGGAATCTCGGGGTGTTCCCTGCTGTGCCAGACCCCAGCCTTTCCGGGGCTGGTTCCCTCCTGCTCCTCACTGCCTGCTGGAGATGACTGGTCTGCCCCTGCTCTTAGCAGCTCTTTTCAGAGGTGTCACTGCCCACCCTGCACCCACGTTCTCCCACCTTTCTGTGCCTACTGGTGTCCCCTTCCTTCAGTCTGAGCAGAGCTCAGAGCCCTGTGGTTTGCCTACAGAACAGAGAATTTCCCCAGCAATAGGTGCCCCACTGAAACACAGGGGGGCAGCAGAAACCCTTGATTGTGCAGATAATGGGTTCTTGCCTAATTATAAAATGAGATTTCTATGGGACATTGTTTTTTTGGCTGTGATTGCCTCTGGGTAATTTGGGGGTGATTTATGGGATGCTGCATTTTCTTTTAGAAATAATGCTGATAATATTTTTGCTTCTCCCTCCCCCATTCCTGCCCTTTTTTCAGATTTATCACAGTCCCATCACGAAGCAGGAAGAAAGTGAGTCACTTCTGTTGCTGTTCTTTGGGCTCTCACAGCCTCGAGGCCAGGCAGAATTTTCCTTGCAGATACACTCATCCTCAAATCCTGCTGAGTAGCACTGTCCCTGCTCCGTGACAGCAGTGTCACTGCTGTTCTCACACCTCAGTGCCTGGCACCGAGCCCAGATGAGAACGAGTCGCACAGAACTGCAGTGAGCAGTTCTTATTTAGCCAGGAGTGGTGGGATGTGAGGTTCAGTTTGCACCTCCAAAGCTCAGTGAGAGATTCTGAGGATGTAACAAAGGTTGTAATGGGGCAATAGAGGTGGCATTGAGTTCCCTGGATCTCCCACCCACCACCATGTCCTGTGTCCCCCCTGTCAGCAATGGGGTGTACCCTGCAGAGCCCTGGAGCACTGAGATACCCTGCAGAGCCCTGGAACCCCTCTGGGGCTCTGTCAGCTGGGTGAAACCTGCATTCTGTCCCAGAGCTCACTTCATCAGCACTGTACCTAGCTGGCTCTAATGAGCACGGGGGGAGCACTCCCAGAAGCATGAGCACAAACCTGCTCTGTGGCCATGTTCACATCACACGCTGGGAGGAATGTGAATTAGGGTTCCACTGAATAAACATTCTCTATTTGTCATAGATTAAAGCTGGTAAGAAAAATTCCAGTGGTATCATAGCCCTCAGTATCAAGCACCAGGTGGTTCTGTGCTTATTCATGGGGCAGGGCTAAGAGATGTCTGAGTTTGATGTTGCTGTTGCTCAGAGCAGACAGAATCAGTATAAACAACCTGCTGAAAATGCAGGGATCCCATAGGATTAACCTTCCTCCACTGAAGGATCCCATAGGATTACCCAGCTCAGTGGGATTACCCTGTGCTCATTTTCCTCAGCACATCAAGCTGGATTGGTTTTGCTTTTTAATCCTACTGATGTAGATAAGCAGAAATTACACAGTCCCATGATGAGGAATAACTTTAACTACAGATTTTGCTCTGGAGAGTATTATTTAAGTCTTTATCAGACACAATCCAAATAATTTACACTATTATTATTAAATACCTTAATTATTAAAGACAGAGAAGGGGTAGGGAGCAGTGCTGCAACTCAAAATAAATTTGAGGAAAAATGGGAGAACATGTGGAACTAAAAACTCCTTGTCAAGGTGTCCAGAACACCAGTGTTTCCTGAGGGGGTGTGGGTGCAGGTGTGAGCACTCTGTGCTGGGGCACTGAGGCTCTGGGTGCCAAGAAAAGCTGGGGCTGGGGCTGGGGCTGGGGGGTCCCAGGGGTCTCCAGGAGGGCTCAGGCAGCTAACACAGCTTCCTTGTCCAAAACAGTGGAGCTGAACGAGGTGGGCTTCAAGTTTGTCCGGAAGTGCATCAATGCAGTGGAGACCAAAGGTGAGGAGCTCACCCAGCCTGGCTGTGCCTCCCATGGCCTCGAGTCACACCATGGTTCCTGCACTACAGGGTTTGCCCCTGGCACAGGACTGCAGCTTTCAGCTGAGGAATGGGTGCTCTTCAGTTAAATGCATGTTCTTTGGGAGCAGAAATCCCACCTGCTTCAGAATGTTGTACCAAGGCTGTTTGGGTTGAACTTCCACCTTTATGCTGTTTTCACTTGTGGTTTTCTCAGTTTTGGCCCTGAGCACACCCAGCGTTGGGCAGGAGAACAGCTCTGGCAGCAGGGGTGGCTACAGGCTGCTTCAGCCCCAGTCTGTGAAGCAGCAGAAGCAGGTGAAAGGGTGGCAGCTCATCCTCTGGGCTGTCACATATCCAGCCTGCACCAGTGAACATTACCAGTGTGGGATGGGGCTGTGGATTCATCTCCAGATGTGGGGTTGGGGCTGCTGGGGCTGTGGCAGCCAAGGCCCACTGGAGTGGGGAACAGCAGGGGCACAAAGACCCTGCTGGCAGCTAGGAAAGAGAGTGATTCCCTGCACTGGCCAGTGTTTTCAGATTCTACTTCAATGCCTTTGTCTTCTGTGGGGGTTTGAGCAAATCCATGATAAAGCAGCACCCACGGAAGTGGGGTGTGTGGGCTGGTGTGTCCCACACCCTGGCTGTGCTCACCTGGCTGTGACATGGTGACCACGGTGGTGCTGGTGGCCTTGGCTGCTGGGGTGAGCAGACACCCTGCCTGCAGAGCCTGGGGAATGGGACAGGGTTTGGGATATGGGACAGAACCCAGTGTGTGGGACAGAACCTGGGATATGGGACAGAACCCGGGGTGTGGGACAAGACCCAGGATATGGGACAGAACCCAGATAGTGGGACAAGACCCAGGATATGGGACAAAAGCCGGGATACGGGACAGAAGCCGGGGTGTGGGACAGAGCCCAGCAGCAGGAGAACATTTCCACTAGATGGGGCTTGTGGATCACCAGCAGGAAACCTCGGCTAACGCTCTTGGCTTTGTCCTCTCAGGAATCACTACGGAGGGCGTGTACCGGACTGTTGGCAGCAATATCCAGGTGCAGAAGTTACTGAATGCCTTTTTTGGTAAGAATTGATTATTCTGTGCAATGACACTGTCCTGTTCTTGAATTGTTTGTGATGGACAGAGAGGATCGGGTTCCACAGTGAGAAATGTCCAGCATGGGTTTTGGTCCCTGTGACCTCTCTGAGGCTCACCTTCCCCTTCTCTCCTGGGATAACACAATGAGCTGGACTGGGAGGGTGGCCTTTGCAGGGAGCCCTCCATCCTGGTGTAAGGTTTTTCTCTGGAAGCGTGGGGACACCTCACTGTGTGCAGTGTGTACCATAAGGGGCCAATGTATGTTAAGAAGTCAGTGGATCCATTCCTGCTGTGAGCCTTCCTGTGGCTGGATCTGTCTGTCATACAAGCTTGGCAGCTGGGGAAGTGTTTACAGTCTGAGCAGGTTTAGGGGCTCAGCAGCACTGCTTTGTGCAAGGACAGCCCTTCTGGGCTGGGCCCTGGCTGAGGCCATCGTACCCTCACCTCGTGGTCACCTGTGAGCCTCTTAGGGACCCTCTGGGGCTGATCCCCACCTACCAAGGCCAAACCTTTCTCCCCAGCCCTGCCTGGAGCTGGAGCACAGGGCAGGGATTGCATTCACCTCCCTCAGGCGTGCCTCGGGCTCAAGCCAGCTCAGACATCTGATACTAATGCAGCATTCAAGGGCTTTGGCTGTTTCCTATTGCTTCTACTCTGGATGTTGTTTACTAAAACCTTGGTTCATAGTGGTGTCTGGCTATGCCCAGTTCTCACAGAGCCATGACTTCGGGCATCTGCCCAGCTCTGCTGGCCCATGATTCATTGCTAAGCCTCAGGTTCTATTGCTGCTTGATTCTCACCCTCCCTGTGAGCAGCTCTGTGGTTTTCTCCTCTGACTCCCACCAGTGAGTGCCTTTTTGTTTTGTTTATCTGCATGGGTCTGGGTAACCACTTGCCACCCCACTGCATATGAAAGCATAATGGAAAGTCCAACACCACAGAAATAACTGCTGCAGCAGGATTTCATCTTTAACCACTCAAAGGAGATAATTTATTTTTTTTTTAGTCTCTAGTCCTATTTATTTTCAAAAACAAGTCCTGCTGTTTATTTCTGTAGTCCAGCTTCCCCCATCCTACAACTACATCCTTCACTTTGTGGCGCCACAGACATGATGTGGTTTGTAGGGGGGGAGGCAGGAGCAAATTGTATTTCCATGCTGCTGGCCCTCCCCTGAGCTCCCTCCTCTCTGTGCAGCAAGAGGGAATGCTTCCAGAACAATCTTCAGGGGAGTAGCTGCAAGTGAGAGATTTGAGCTGGCATTCAGATTACTTTGGATGTCAGAAAGCTTTTCTTGGACCTGTTGAAATCGGTTGTTTCTGCCAGCCTTGGGAAAAAATAAACTATAGAGAATATGCTCTCAGTGGCTTCTCAGCACTGCATAATTTTTACCTTGTGTTTCCCCCTTTGTCCTCATTAGCACCACTCCCCAGCCTCTCCAAAACCCTGACACTGGTGCTGTTTTTCTGCTTTTCCAAGCCATGAGAATTAGGAGCTTTCTTTGTGTGCTGCTGTGGCTTCATGTGTCTCAAGGGGAATCCCCCACCCCAAGCAGACTGTTTGTTAGTAACCTCTAAATGAACTTTATTCTTAAACTTGTTCATTCTCCTTCCAGATCCAAAATGCCCTGGGGATGTGGATCTCCAGAGTGGAGACTGGGACATCAAGACCATTACCAGCTCACTGAAGTTCTATCTCAGGTAGCACTGGAGGTCACACCTGCCCCAAGGAGGCAAAGGGGACTGGGACTGACCCAGATGAAAGCTGAAATGAGCTGCCAGATACTCACATCTGGCTGTTGAAAAGGGCAAAGTGACAAAGGCTTTGGGAAGAAGGATGATAAACGTGGATGTTGCAGAATCCCTCAGTCCCATGGGGAGGGCTCTTCCGCTGATATTGACTGCAGAAGGAAATGCCACTGGGGCTTGGTGGCCCTGAGGGATGAGCCACTTTGCCCATTGGTCCAAGATGGGTCACAAGTGGGTCACAGTGCCCTGCAGAGCTGAATTTTCTTTCTGGTTGTTGCAGGAACCTGTCTGAACCCGTCATGACGTACAAGCTCCACAAAGAGCTGGTCCTGGCTGCCAGTAAGTCCCACAGCTTCCCCACTGATGGTCCCTGGCCCTGCTCTCCCCAGCCAAGGTCCATCAAAGTCACTTGGCTGAGCTCTGCCAGCCCAGCTCTGTGGTGTCCCAGTGCTTCAGCTGTAGAGAGAGCAGTGCTCTCTTCTCCAAGTGCTTTTCTGTGCAGGGGATGTGGTGCTGGATGTTCCCTTCTCTCCTTTGCTTCTCCCCTCAGACAGGGTCTGTGGTCTCAGGGGGTCTGGAGAGCCAGAGGCTGTCACTTACTTGAAAGCAGCCACAAGAATTGTTTCCCTCTAGTATTGATATATTTATTTTAAAACCTGTGAGGGAATGGGATGTGCTGTTGCCCCCCAGATAAGTAGGTATTCCCTTTAGGTTGTGAAATTTGTCCTGGGATGTTGAAAACAATCCATGGAAGGCATTTCTCTGCTGTAGCTGTTGGGATTGAGTCACAACTGGGACTAACAGAGGTCAGCCAAGAAGCTGCTCTGTGGCTGTCACCTCGTTGTGGCCACTGCAGATAAGCTGTGACAGCTGTGAGCCAGTGCCATGTGAGGGAAACAGGGATGCAGAGAGCATGATGAGGGTCATCACCCTCAGCATGGGAGTGCTGGCACTTGGAAATGTGTGGGATTAGAGTATCCCTCATCCCACTGTGCCTCCAGAAGTCACAGGAGACTGGGAGGGATGCCCACTTCTTCTTCATTTGTCCCTCTGGAGAATGAATAACACCCATTTTTCTTGGAAAGGGAAATGTTCCACCTCTTGCTGAAGGTAGTCAAGGCCAGAATTTATTAGTTTCAGAGCTGGTTAAGCCCATGATGTCTGGGGGTGACAGGACATTTATCCCTTCCCTGCCCTCCCTCAGAAACTTGCACCATTGAGCTTCCCAGCCACCCAGACCCCACACTATTCTTTTCACACAGAGTATTTTATTGTTTCCTGATTATTTATTCTTCTAAGGGTGACCTCTTTGGGTCAGGGACTCAGGTTTATTCCCTGTAGGATATTTTTAGGTGCTGTTCAGTGTCAGAGCTCTCTGAGCTCATAGACTCCCAGAGGGAAGCTGTGTGCTGCCAGGTGTGTGGTGGTGTGAAGGGGAGGACCTGCCCATGCCCAGCCTCTTTTAGAGTGTGTCTTTGGGCTCCCTTTCAAGCTCCATTTCTTCCTCTTTCCACTTCATATTGTTTCTCACAGTATTCATCCTGTTGCTGTGAAATCTCACTTCCCTCTGCTCCCTTTTGCTCCCATGCTGCACAGGGAAACAGCTTCCACAGGTTTCCTTTGGCTTTATATTTCTCTGGTGTATTTAGTTTGAAAGTGTTGGGTACAAATTCTTCTTTGTGTCGCTGCTTTCCAGAGTCCGAGAACCTGGATTACAGGCTGGGAGCCATTCATGCACTGGTCTATAAACTGCCTGACAAGAATAGGGAGATGTTAGAACTCCTCATCCAGCACCTTGTCAAGTAAGCAGATGTTTCCTCTAAAACTAAAGAAAGGGGAATAATGGAATCAGCAGAATGAGCCTTTTTGGGAGGTCGGGTTTGCAAAATTTTACCCACTGTAGTCCTCTTGTGAATTTCCATGTGGATTGCACAAAGGGGGTGACTGTCCTTGCTGCCCTCTGCATGGAGTGATGCTTCTCTTTCTGGTTGTTCCTTCCATCCCCTTTCAGATATGCACAGAGCAGCAAATTATTAAAAAATAAAACTACTCTCTGAGAGCAGGGGCTGTAAATTGTCACCCCTCAGAAATTTACTGGAAACCACCATAATGTGCTCCCTAAATTCAGTTCTCTTCCTTCAGAAGGAAAGAAAATTAAAGCCAGAAGTCAGTTGTGGATAAAAAGGATATAGGATTTAAATGATTCCTTTTGTGCATATGTTGTGCAGATGACTTTTGATTGCAGAGTTAAAGAGGATCTGGGAGTGGGAAGAGATCAAATGAAGATGCTGTCAGCACATTGCTCTCTCCAGCATCTGTCCGAGCCAAATGTGTGTGTCAGACCTAGAGCCATGTTTGTCACTGCTGGGAAACAAATTCTAAAACACAATGAAGAAAATTGAATTGATTCTTAGTGTATCCTGGGTTTTGTTGTTTTGTTTTGTTTTGGTTTTTTTTCCCTTGGAATAAGATCTGTTTGGGAAAAAACAAACCAAACCAAACTCTGTTCCTCCTTCCCCTGCCCTCTGCAGCGTGTGCGAGCACAGCCGGGAGAATCTGATGTCACCGTCCAACATGGGGGTGATCTTCGGGCCCACCCTCATGCGAGCACAGGAGGACACCGTGGCAGCCATGATGAACATCAAGTTCCAAAACATCGTGGTCGAGATCCTGATCGAGCACTTTGGGAAGGTACGGGGCAGCCCCGGAGCAGCCCCGGCTGCTCCCGCCTGCTCCTGCAGACTGTTGCTGTGGCAACACGGCAGCTCCGGCTCCTTCGGGAGTCTCCTTGGGCTGGCTTTATGTAACACTCTGCTCTGAAAGGCTTCAGGAGGAAGCAAAGAGTAGCAGGTGTGTGTTCCTCAATGTTGCTGTTATCTGGTCCCAGAGGAAACAGCAAGTCTGGGCATTTTTGCCTTTTCTTTTTAAACAAGGGAAAGCTTTATTGAAAAAAACCTATTGTATGACTGCTCATTACAGGGCTTCACTCTTTCCTTTGCTAGACAGGAGCTAGGCCAGAGGAGAATTGGTTTTAATGGGCAGAGTCCAAGATGAGACACTGCACAACTCTTAAATCAGTGGAAAAAAAACTAGAGCAGACGAGTGTTGAATGGTTGATGAAGGTAATTCAGGTGTGGTTGCACTCAGATACAGACACAGGGATGGTGTGGAGATGGAATGGGGAGTCTGAGGGAGCTGCTGCCTGGGGTGGAGCCTTCAGAGGAGCTGAGGCTGGTGCCCATGTCCCTGGGCCATGCTCTCACAGGACAGAGAGCCCTGGAGAGCCTCCAGTCTCATCTGCCCTCCATGGGTGTGTGCTGGGTATTCATATTTCAGTCTGAGCATTGCCCGTGTGCCCAGCCAGGCTCTGGTTGCTGGGGTGGTGCTGAAGATGCACGTGCAGACAGCAGCTTTGTCATGTGGAGTTCTGCCTTTGGGGAGCAGAATGTTCCACTGTGTCTGTGCTCACACTTGCTCTCAGATACCCAACACCGGCTCAGGGGTGTCGGGTGGCTGGGGATGACAGGAGCTGGGTGTTAATATTGAAAGCTGGAGCAGCCTTTGCATCCAGAGCAGCAGATCCTGAGCAGGGAGCAGATTCCTGCCCTGGGAACAGCCCTGGGTTCCAAGGAGGGAGTGTGGTCCTCCAGCTTTCCACAGCAGAGTACACAGTGTCCAAACCTCTCTCGTGGAGCCGTTCATTCAGGGATGCTGTTTGCTGTGAGGGGCTGGGGCAGCTCCCAGCATACAGGGCAGCAGGTGGGCAGGGGGAAAGCTCCCTTTGGAAAGGGAAGAGGCAGCCAAAGCTGGAACAGCAAGGTTCTTGCAACAGGGATGTGGAGCTAGAGCAAGCAGGTGGGGACCACATGGGGGTGTAGGACCAGATGAGGGCGTGGGAGTTGGCTGCAATGCCAAGGATTGAAATGGGATGGAAGAGCTCAGACAGGCTTCTGAGTACCCAGAGCAGAAGCTCATGGAAACACCAGCCAATTCCTTTGTAGGTCTCTATGAACACTTGTAATAGGTTCCCACAGAAAAGCAGGGACTGGTTTTTGTCTGGGATCTCACACGCTCGCTCCAGAGATGATGCTCTGTGCTCCCCTCCTTACAGCCTGCAGCACAGTCTGAATCAACACACCCTGCCACCTCTGAGAGCTGGCATGACACCTTTAATTAAGTCAGATGTCCTTTTGCTTGCTTTTAATTTCTCCAGCAATAAAGTTAAGTTAGTCACATTTATTGGATTGAGTGTATAAGTTTGGTGTTGGAGCTGACAGAGTCTTCAGCTCACACATGAGCAAACAGCTCAGATGAGACTTGGAGGAAGAGGGGATGTGGGTTATATGGTGCAATCTGAAGACTCTGAGGACAGAGTAACTATTCATGAAGTGTTTGTGGATAATTGCTGTTTCCACAGCTCATGTTTCAATGCTGTGGTTAAATTAAATAGGTTGATTGTTCTGGAAACACCTTCTTCCCTGTACAGACCTCCTTAAGGTGAGGGTCTGTCAATATCTTTGTACATTTATGTTATTTAACTTGATTTTCAATTAGAAGTAAATCAGAGCCTGCACCCACCTCTTAAACACAGTCATTTGTGGTTGGTTTAGCTTGGGTTTCAGGTGTTGAAAGCAGTATTCTTTGGTACCTGTATAAGTGTCCATGGGGAGCTTAATGTTTCTTTTAAAAGAGGATTGGATTCTGTTCAGGATAGAGGAATGAGAAAAAATTTCCCTCCTACAGGAAATCCTCTGTTGATTTAATAATACACAAGCTGCTTTTAATTCACGTGCTGCTATGTCACAGCAAGAGAGTACTTCAGTACTCCAGACCTTTTTTGGAGCAGGGAATGTGTCTTGCCCCTGCCCAGGGCAGAGCCCAGCAGGCAGTGAGCCAGTACCCACCTGTGTCACCAAACCCTGAATGTGGGGTTTTTTTTCCAGAGTGGGTGTGTAATCTTCCCTCACTGGAGATATTCCAGAACTGTCTGGACACAATCCTGTGCCATTTGCTCCTTAGGGAAACCCTGCTTGAGCAGGGAGGATGGACCAGATGACCCACTGTGGGCCCTTCCAGCCTGAACCTTTCTGTGATTCTGTGTTGTTTCTCCTCTCCTCATGCAGATTGGGCCAGGCTGTTGGGAGCAAAGCCTGGTTCTGGCACATGGATTTATCCAAAGTCAGCCAGGCTGGGCCAGAGCATCCTGACCGTGGTGTGTGGGGAGCTGTCTGCCACTGCCAGCCCCCCCAGGCACACACTTGGGACCAGGAAATTTAAACCAGGGACATGTTTTCCTCTCCCATCCCCCATCTTGGTCTCCTAGCCCTGCTCTTTGGCCTGAAGAAGAAGGAATATATTTTTGGTTTGAATTACCAAAATGAGACATTTAATCAAAGCAGAATGTTAGACTTCTTCATGGTAAGATTTTTCTGGGTGATGCAATTAGGCTGTTTTTCCATATTGAAGTGTGTCCCAAGGGTGTGGTGACCCAGCATGCCAGTGGGGCTGGCACAGCTCTCCTCCTCTGGGCTGGAACCAGGAAGGGTCCAGCTCCACATCTCCCAGGACAGGCAGGGCAGCCTCTGGGTTCAGCAGCTCAGGCCACCTCTCTGTAGTAGCTCAGGCTTTAAAGCCTGATAAAACTTCAATTAACATCCCTGGGAAGAACACAGGAGCAGCTGCTTTGGATCATGATGGGTTGTTTCAGCTCTTCAGATGTATTTCTTTTTCAGCTCTTAAAAAAAGCCCTGACATAAATGAGAACCTCTCAATTAATCCTAACTAAATAGGTGCCACATTACCAGTGAGAAAAGGAGATGAAACTTCTCAGTAGCGTTGCTTTTATGCCAGTATTTCATCCCAGGTAATTTCCTGGTGCCAAATGTGTCATTGTAAACCAAGAGCTGAAGGGTTTTAGTGTTAGATCTGGAACAATGCAGGGTTGGTTTGGATGATTTGGGGATTGTATCTCTGTGACAATGGGAATCCTGCTGTTGGTCAGGAGCTGTCAGCTCCAAAGCCTCCCTCATCTGCTCCAGGGGAATTTGCTTCTACAAATTGTCTGTGTTTGTGATCTTCCTGCTGAGCTGCAGGGACAGTGTCTGTGGTGGGAATGGTGTCAGTGGTGGGGACAGTGTCAGTGGTGGCCACCATCACTCTCTGTGCTGGGCAGGGGCACCTGCAGGGGGAGGTGAGGCAGCAGCCCCTTTGTGTTGGGTCACCTGAATGTGTCTCTCTTTACAGATCTACTCTGGCCCCCCAGAAGACACCACAGCCCCCCCAGTGCCCCCACCCAGGGTGGCTGCCCGGCGGCACAAGCCCATCACCATCTCCAAGCGTCCCCTGAGGGAAAGACCTGTCTTCTTCAATGCCTCTCTGGAGGAGAGTGGAGGTCAGTCCAGCTGTTCCCTGATGCCTTACCTGCTTCTCACCCCTCCTGCTTCCTGTAACACCTTTCCAGGAGCAATGGAGGTAACAGCAGCAGGGCTGCACTTTCCAGGTCCTGGACATGGCAGGCAGTGAGGGCTGCTCAGAGAGAAAGAAAAGCCATAAACACTCATACATTATTTGCATCATGTCACAAGTCAGACTTTGTGGGATTTGGGTTTTTCTGCTACCTGCTGCATGCTCCATTAGCTAAACTAAGGATGGTTCTTGGCACAGGAGAGACCTAGAGGAGAGGTTTTGTGGCATCAGAGGCAAAAAAACCTGCATGGAGTGTTGGTGGGATGGTAGCCAGGGAGGGGTGTGCTGCAGGAGGCCCAAGGAGGTCTCAAGCTGGCAGTTCCACATCCAGAGAAGAACTCCAAAGAATTTTTTCAGGATGCAGTGAAGGTATTTCCTAGACCAAGTTCTACTCTGACCTTACCATAATAGCTTCAGCATTTCCTTACAGTCAGCTGGATTAACAGCAAAGGACGCATCACCTTAAAATCATATTTCTGCACCTGATTTGCTCTAGTTGTCACTGCAAGCTGTGCCCTGACTCCACAGTCACCAAAGAGATGAAAAGTCTCTTTCTCCATTAGTTTTCAGAGCTCTGATGATGTTTAGGTATAAAGTGCACTTTGTGACACTGGCAGAACATGACTGATTCACATTGCTCTTTAAAACTCCCAGACTGCTAATGGAGTTGGGGCTGGCCTTGCATTTCAATGCTTCCTCGACCTGTGAGCAGAAGCATTTGTTCACCTTGGCCTGCCCCAAGGCTGCAGGGAGCAGTCAGGTTCATAGCAGAGCTCCTGCTTGCTCCTGGTTCTGCAGCACAGCAACAGGGCTGGGATGAGTGGCTTTTGGAGGCACATCAAGTGCAGTGCACACCTAACCCCACGGCTCTCTGCCCTCCTGTCTCCACAGCAGAGAGGCTCAGCCAGACCCCCAACGGCGGCGGCGTGGAGGCCCCCAAGCCCCTGCACCGCAGCCGCCTGCCCGCGCCCCGGCCGGGCGGGGACGAGCCGGGCCGTCCCCCTGCCGAGAGCCGGCCCCAGCCCCGTGCCGAGCCCGAGCTGGGCAAGCTGGGGAAAGGGCTCCAGGATGGAGGGGCCAAGCCACCTGGCAGGGCAGCCAACGGCGTGGTGACCAGCCCTGCCTTGAGGACCGCTACACTGCAGGCCAGGAGGCCAGCACCCCGGCCGGGCATCTGTGGCAGAGAGGGTGAGTGTGTCTGGGGCCTGGCCAGAGCCAAGCAAGTGCCCAAGTCAGCCCTCCCTGGGCACGTGGTGGCCTCTCCCCTTGAGTCCTCTCAATGTAGTTCAGCAGGAGTGGCTGGGAGACCAGAACAGCCTAAGGTGTGGGCACGTGTAAAGTCTGACACTCATTCCTTGTTGACTTGAATCTTAAAGAATTTGAAGGGTTAAGTGAGTAGTAAGGTTGGCTGGATCCTGGGGAAGAAAAGAAGCCGAGGAGAGGACAGGTAGTGTCACTGTCCAGGATGAAAGCTCAGCTGCAGGAATCACCAGTTTGTGCTGTTCCTCTCCCATTCACAGAGCAGCATCGCACAGGGTTTGGTTAAGAACACTTGTGATTCCCAGGAAGTATCAGCTTCACAGTCAGCAACTGCATTGAGTTTATCCTTGCAGGTCCAGCTCCAGCCCCTGTTACCAGTGCCAGGAAAGCTTTTCTGGGACAGGTAGTGTGGGAACTTCCTTTCCCTGGACTCTGTCCCTCTATTCTGGCTATTGGCCACTGTCAGTGAGGAAGTGTTGAGGCAGAGGGGCAGAACTAAACCCATGGACCTGTTCAGTGACCCTTCATAAATATCTGGTCTCTGCCAGAGCTTCGTGCTCAGTGTTTGTTATCTCCATCCCTGCAGGTGACTGTGATGGTGTCCCTAAGCCACGTTCCCATGGTGATAAGCCTGTGATAACACGTCCCCCTGTGAGACCTCCGGATCCACCGTGCCGGACTCCCATCCCTCCAAAGCTGGAACAGAGGCCAGATCTGATAGCAGGGACAGCAGAGGAGATGCCCTCATCTGTGTAAGCCAGCAGCCCGTGGAGGGTGCTTGGTGCTGGTGGGGACACTCAGGGGCTCAGTGGCTGGAGCCTGTGGATGTTCCCTTGGCACTGGTGCAAGTGGAGGTTTGAATGTCACTTGGAAAGCTGAGCAGAGGGCACAGCCAGGGAGGGGAGTGGCGCCACGGTGAAGGCAAACACGAAGCTTTGGAGCTGCTCAAGCACAGCACAGGGCTGAGCCTTGCCCCATCCCCTTCCCTGCTGTTCCTGGGTTGGTGGAGCTGAGCCCCTCCCTGCCTGCCTCCAGCAAACCTCTCAAACGAGACATTTTCTGGGGCAGGACAAGATCCAACTTCAATCTTAAGGAAACTGGATGGACTTCAGCTTCATCTCATCCTCAGATTTCTTTCAGATTTTAAGAGTCAGAAACCCTGCTGGCTTTAGTGGGAATTAACCTAAAGAAAACAAAAGGTGCCATGAGGGTCAGCTCTGTGCCAGAACTGCCTTAATTCCTTCTCTGGGATAATGTAATTTCTCTTTCTTGAGCATGGGTGGGAGCACATGAACACTGAAGGAAAGACCATAAAGGGTATGGATGCACATAGGATTATAGGCAAGAGAACAGAAATAATGACTGGATGTGGCACCTGGTGCTATGTTTTAGTTGGTGTGGTGGTGTCTGGTCAAAGGTTAGACTCCATGATCTTGGAGATGTTTCCCAGCCTAAATGATTCCATGATCCCATGGTTCTGTACGCAGCCCAGCCAAAGCACTGGCAGGTGGTGTGTGGGTGGAGCGAGCACAGAAGGAGCCCGGCTATGCCTTGGCACAAGAATTGTCAATTGAAGGTGATCTCTGCAGTGCTGCCAATGCTGCAGCTCATTCCCTGGCACAGAGCAGATCTCATTAGCAAATTGCCAGGTCGAATCAGGAGAGACTTCTCCTGTTTTCTTTGCAGGGTGGCCTCTAGGACCAAGTTCTTTGAGACAGCGTCCCGAAGAACAGGCAGGTAAGGCTGGCACGGGGAAGGTTCCATGTGGAGAGCAGCAGCCCTGCAGTACAGGGTGCTCCCTCTGAGGCAGAGCCAGCACAGACAGCCCCAGCCCCAGGCCTGCCTTGTCTTGTACTCACAAACAGCAGATGGGGCTCAGCTAAAATGCTGAAACTAAACAAAGAGCACAAAGCATAAAATGTGAGTCCAGATACAGACTTGATAAATTAAATCCGCCAAGCGAGAAACATCCCTGTGGATCCCTGTTACCAGGTGTGTGGATCTGTGTGATGTAGTGCCCATTGTACTCAGGCCTTGTGGGAAGATCAGGTCATGGGTGAGGTGATGAGGGCTGGTTAGGTCCCAGCAGCTGCCAAGGGAGCATGGCTGGTCCAGCCCAGGGGGTGTGCAGACAGGGAGCTAGGGGGTTATGGGGACAGTGTGGGCAGAGCCCTCAGCTCTGAGTGGCAGCAGGTGCCATTTGTGATAATATTTGTCCAAATAACCCTCAGCTTCCTGCTTTGAAAAGCTGCCAATCCCTGCCCAAGAGAGAGCAGATTTGTGTGTAAGTCTGAGAACTGCTGCTGCAGGTACTGAGAGAAAACATTTGTGCTATTGCAAAACAGACCCCTCCCTGCCCATTACCCAGCCTCGAGGAGCTTGTGGAGCTGAGTTGGAGCTTGCTCCTTGCACTCATTTTTCTCTATTCTTCTACTTCCTTTTACACAGTTCTTCATCACCACAAGGCAGGATCCCAAGTGATGAGAGCTGAGGCTAAAGGTACGTGTTTATGACAACAAACTGAAATAAACTGCTTTAATAAACTGAAAGCAGACTTGTAAGACACATCAGCATTTATGGGGTTTGTGGAGGGAACAAACAAATTATGTGGGATTCCAGTGGTTCTGCCATTACTGGTTGATTTGCATTGCTGCACAGAACATGGACCTTGTTTTCTTCTTCCAGGTTTTGTAAGCACACCTCAGCCCAGCTGGACCCAGGAGACTTTCTGTGCTTGTGACCCAGGAGTCAGAGCTGAGCCTTGCCAGCCCCAGTGCCCTGGAGAGCAGCTATCTTACTGGACGATGATTTCCAAGCCACAAGTGGCTCAAGAAATTAGGAGAGGGGGACCACGATGGAGAGCAGGTCCTGCCCACACATCTGTGTTGAACTGTTCCCTGCCCTCCCACCTCTCCTCCCTCTCCTCTCCTGTGTGTGCCATGCAGGTGATGGCAGCATGGGGAGGCCTGGGGGACACAGACCGTCTGTGGAAGGGACAGTGGAGCCCCTGTTCACCTGCACACTTTTGGGAAACACACCTTGAAAAGGGTGTTTGTACAGCACAAGGGCTGAGTCCCTCTGTTTGGATGCAAGGGCAAAACAGCTGCAGTCCCCCCTTGCCCTGCTTGCCCTGAGAAGCCCCTTCCTTTGTGCTTGTGTCCCTCACTTGGTGAGTGTCATTGTGTGGGACTGCTGTGCCTGCCAACACTGCCCATCATGACAAAAGATGGGCAGGGATGGAGCAATCACTGTGCCCAGCTCTGTGGGATGTCTCCTCATCTCCTCCTGGACATCCCTGGCATGGGACACTACACTGACAGACAGGCTTGGCCAGGGGCTTGGCCTGAGCCATGGCCACAGCCTTGCCTGGGATCAGCTCTCAGGCAGCACCCTCGGGTCAGCAGCCTCCAAGGGTGCAGCTGAGGGAAGGGGGCAGCAGGTGCTCCTCCTCTTCCTCCACTGCCTCCTCTTCCATGACCCACACTTCCACCAGATCCACTTCTCAGAGGCCCACCAAGAAGTCTCCATCCTGGGTGATTGTGGTGGCCAGCACAGAGGTGCTGAGGATCTGACACTCACTGTTTGTGGGTCAAACCCATTGTTTTGTTTTTTTTTTTTTTTTAAGAATGGCCCAGTTTGTTGTTTGCTTGTTTATTCATTTCCAGTACAAGATGGCCAGCCTGTCCCTCAGCCATGGCCCTGTGGATGATGCCCAGGAGGTGTCCCTGGCCAGGGCCTCTGTAGCAGCAGAGGCTTGTCTGTTGCTCCAGCTGCCACCAGGGCCCAGCTCCAGGGCTGTGCATGGCAGAGAGCTACTTCCCTGCTTCCTCCATCTGCCCAAAGATGACTCCCTCCTTTTGAATGGTTTTCTTTAGGTGCTGAGAGCATTTGCAAACCAGTGGCCAAACATTCCCACAGCTGCTTCCCAGGTGCTCCATTCCCTTGAGCATGGTGTCCTGCCTGGTGCAGGTCCTTCCCACCTCCTGGCACTTTGCCTCTGTGTGACCTTGTGTCTCTTATTGCTGAATGGCACACAGCTCACGTGTGTCATGTCCATGGTGCTCTCACTCCCTTGGCTTCAGCAGTGCCCCAGCTGCTCCCTCTTTTAGGCCTGGCACACAAAAGTGGCTTTAAAACCAATCCAGCCCTGTGCTGTAGCAGTTGAGGCTGTGCCACATGCACTGGCAGCCCCTGGGGCTGTGCTGGGCCCCTCCTACTGCAGCCCCTCACCAGGGGCTCAAGGACAAGGCACAGGTGTTCTGATCAGGGATCTCTGAACAGGAATGGAGCTGAAGCTGGAGCCAGCTGCTCTGACCAGCCTGGCAGTGGGGCCACCTGCCTGCAGCACATCACCCCCTGGCCCTGTTGGGGTACTGGGCCTGTGGCTCCCACACAAAAGGACAGCATTTCCCTACTGCCTTTCTTGCTTTGGGACACTGTCTGGGGACACCTCGAGCCTGTCAGTTTGGGAAGCTCCTTGGGTTGTGCTGATGCACGTGGCACTGGAGGTGACATTCTGTGGGAGCAGTGGCAGTCACATCCTCATCCTGCTCATGCCCACTGCCCAGCACAGACCTCAGGACAGAGCTGGGCTCCATGGGTAGGGAGAATCCAAGGGTGGCTGGGTTTCAGTCTGACAGTGTGAGCAGTGGGGAGAGGCAGCTTCTTGCAGACTATTTCATGGTGTCCTTTTAAAGTTCTTTGTCACTTGTATGTCTGTGCTGATTTTTCCTGCACCTGTGGGTGCAGCTGAACACTGGGGACCAGCAGTTGGAGCGGTGGGGATGCTGGTTGTGCTATCAGGGGGCTGTGGGGTCCAATTCCTGCTACTGTGGGGCCCAATCCCTTCTGCTGTGAGCACAGTCCCTGCTGCCAGTGGCCCAGGAGTGACAGCTGGGAATCACCCTGTACAGCATGGCAGCCCCCAGCATCAGCCCTGGAGCCATTGTGATGTGTACAAGCTTAGGTTACTGCAAGTGTTTATAAAGTTCCCATGAAGTGAAACAACCCTGTCCGTGTGTTTTGTTCCTCTTCACCCCAGGCCCAAGTGCTGCCCCCACTGTGCCCCCTCTGCAGGGAGGCCCTGCTGTGGGGGCCCAGCTCTGTGCCCCAGGGAGGCCACACAGAGCTGTGTCCATGGGATTGGGAGTGCCCTGGGCTCTGCCATAGCCCCACTGTGGGTTTGCAGTGCCCAAAGCTGGTTTTCTGCATTTTTTTGACTGGAGAAGCTGCCCTGCCAAGGCTGAATATTCCTGCACTGACGCAGTGCCTGGACAGCGTCCTGTGCCATGGGTCACCGAGACTCCGCTTTTCCTGTGACCACCAATGGCTTCTTTCTATTGATCCAACACTCTTTTCCCCTCCTCACATCTGTTTTCCCCCTCCTTTTGACCCTGACATTGCACACCAGTGTTTGCTTTTCAGGCCTCTTGCTTTTCTTTAGCAGTGAGCCCTGTCCCAGGAGAGAACAGCTTCTCTCTCTGACATGAGAATCTTGCAGCCAGCTTTGGAGCCCGGATTTCTGGAGAAGCCTGATGGAGGTGACCACTTCAGAGGGTGTTCCTGGGGGCATAGGGGCAGCCAAGCTGCCCCCACAGCCACGAGGGTTCCTAGCTGGAGAAGGGGAGCATTCCCACCCACACCCTGCTCAGGGCTGCTCGGTGTTTTTGGGATCCTCCTGCAATTATTTTGTGCGGGCCCGGCCCCTGCCCACAGGCCCTTGGTGCAGCACAGGCCAGGTTTGCCAGGCCAGGTTTGCCAAGCCAGGTTTGCCAGGCCAGGTTTGCCAGGCCAGGTTTACCAGGCCAGGTTTGCCAGGCCAGGTTTGCCGAGCCAGGTTTACCAGGCCAGGTTTGCCAGCTCCGAGAGGTCTGTGCCAAGCCAGGTTTGCCAGGCCAGGTTTGCCAGGCCAGGTTTGCCAAGTCAGGTTTGCCAGGCCAGGTTTGTCAGGCCAGGTTTGCCAGGCCAGGTTTGCCAAGTCAGGTTTGCCAGGCCAGGTTTGCCAGGCCAGGTTTGCCAAGCCAGGTTTGCCAGGCCAGGTTTGCCAGGCCAGGTTTGCCAGCTCCAAGAGCTCTGTGCTGTGCCCTGGCTCCAGGCCCAAGCAGCCAGAGAGCTCCCGAGGCGGGCATGGACACGATGCACCAGGAGCAGCAGCTGGAGGGTTTTCTGCTTGTTTTTTCTGGCTTCTTGTTTCTCTCAAAAGTTTCTTTGTGGGTCTGTAACTTTTCCAGGGCTGGATGCATTCAAAACAGCGGCGTTTGGGGAACTAAACTGTTTCCTTTTCTCTCTAGGCCTTGTATGAAGTGATTGTGGACTGGAACAAGCATTGAGGCACTGCCCCAATAATCCTTGTGTGCCAACCCACAGGTGCCTGGCTTGCTTTCTTACAGAAAACATTTGGATTTAATATGAGCAAGAAAATTATTTTCCAGCACAAGTAAAACCTTTCAGGTTTTTACAGAGACAAGATAACAAAACAAGCAGTTCCAAAGCTTGAGCCTGAGCCTCAGTGAGTTCTTCCCAGAGGAAGATTTGAAGAGGCCAAAGACTCTGCAGCAGACACATTTGTGTGATAAATTTAGAATTGAAATATACTTAGTGGAGCACTGACATCTGAAATTTATGTGCTACACAGAGACCCATGAAGGCGCTGGAATCCACCCACGTGGGATTCCTTGGAGGATCAGAGCCATAGTTTTCAGCTCTGTAGTTCTCCCTGACCCATCCCACTGCACCATTACCCATCTGGATGCTCCGAGCTGGGAGCAGCTCCCTGTGCTGGGCGGGTTCCTGGCAGCCCTTAGCAGGTTTCTTGGCCCGTACACATGGCTGTAAATCAGGTCAGGCCTCCAAAAAATCCTATGATTGGCTTAAACAATCAGGAGACACTTTGAACCACTAAAGGCCATAATGTTTTCCATTCTCTGTGTTTTCAGAAGTTTAAGAAGTGCTTTAACAGCCTCTGCCAGTGTCTCTAAGAGCTCCCACAAGGCAGAACTTCTGAAGATTCTTGAAATCCTATATAAAATGGGCCATGACCATGAAGGCTCAGAGGGGCAAGTCCCCACAAGCTCCATCCTCCCACAGCTCCATCCTTCCTCACTCTGTGTGCTGCACATCCCAGCTCCCTTCAGTACCTTGGCCCCTCAGGCTCTCCTGGTGGCTACCACACCATGCTGCCACACCGTGCCACTGTGCCCACCCTGCTCCTATGGGCTGGGACACAGGGCATGCCAAGCAGGCCCTGTTTGCCCTCCCCTTGGCACCTGCCCACCGCTGGCAGAGGGAGGCAGCAGCAGTTTTGGGTGAGGAGCAAACCCCAGCGTTGGCTGGTGTCCCTCATGTCAGGGCACTCGAGTCAGGGTGACCCCACTGAGGCCTGTGGCTGCCACTGGCCCGTCCTGGGAGCACAGGCACAGCCCTGACACCATGGCAGGCACACAGGGCTGGCTGCCAGCACAGCAGGGTCACAGTGCTGGCATTCCCAGACCCCCAGGGAGGGGAACTGATGAAAGGGCTTTTTGACAACTTGTCAGTATTTTTGGAAACAGAACTTCTGTCTGTTTTAAAAACATCCCGCTTTCTGCTATGAGAACAAGAACAAATAAATGACCTTAAAGCATGAGGCCATTTTTGGGTTTTCACAATGATTCCATGTTTTCAGTTGACTTCTTCATGGTAACTGGACTTTTTCCTGTGAGCTTGGCGTGCTCTTCTGCTGGGGAGCCAAGGCATCTCTAAGGGCAGCTCTGGAGCCTGCTGGCATGCTGCTCACCCCCAGTGCTGGCATGGTGGCTGTCACCCTGCTGCCAGGCCCCACAGCTACAGGAATGGTCAGGGAGGTCAGCAGCTTCCCTGTGACCTGTAGGTCCTGTGAGCTGTGCAGGAAAGATGCAGGGTGTGGGATGTGGGATTCAGGATGTGCAGCAGAGGTGGCTGGAGCATAGCGAGGCAGAAGGAGTTGAGTGAGGTGAATTTGTCCTTCAGCTTCAGTTCTGACCCAGTAGCCCCTAAGTGGTTAATTAATAATTAAGAGGCCTCATTGTCCTCCCACAGACACTGTTCAAGCCACACGAGTTTGGGGCTACTGGAAACTGAGGCCAGTGTAAGCCCAGGAAGTGTAGCCACTGAGGGACCAAGTCTCTCAACCCATGAGGCACTGGACCAGTGGCTCCTGAATGTCCCTGGTGTCCAAGTGGCCATTTGGCAGGTGACACTGGGACTGACATGCTGGCAGGTGCCCAATCTGCCACACCAGCCCCGAGGAGCTGAGGCCTGCTCAGTGTCCATAAAGGGTGAATTTTGAAAATAACACAATAATTTTTCACAGTGACTCAGAGCAAGGGATGGGATCAGGTTCCTTGTGGATGACGAACCCAAGGGTTTTTAATCTCTTGGCACACTGTTCTTCAGCTCACAGGGCACACTGTGTGGACTGCTGCTGTGCAATTACACACCAGGCATTGCCAGCTATTTGTGGCCCAGCGAGCTTTTTTTTTTTCCCCAAGCTCTTTGCTTTGTCTCACTGAATCAAATCTTGGCCCTGGGAAGGATTCACATCTGTGCCTTGAATTAACAAGTGGCTGATAA